GCCACCAATGACCTTGCAGTCGGACAAAATCGCCAGCAGATAAATGACATTCAAACTGAATGAAACAGATATCTGGAGCAGAGCTCCTGGAGGATGATGGATAGGAAGGCAGCCTTTTCTCCAGCCCTGCATTCCCATGCCCTTGTGGCTTCGGTAAACGTCAGCTGAGCTCCTGAATTCACCAATACCCAGGGGAACAATGATGAGCAAGAGTTGTCCTGGGCCTCAAGGAGTTTGTAGTCCAGTAGAGAATCTGGGAACTTAGATAAGCTGCAGTACAATATGGATAAGCACACATAGGGAAGTGTTTAGGCCATCTGTCTTCAGATGTAAGGGTTTTGCTTGAAAATGCAGCCTTTTGATTCAAAAGGTCAGCAGAAAAATAGGTTAGAAGAGCCAAGAAAATTTTGGAAAAGAGAAAACTGAGGAAGGATTTATACTATCTGATATTGGAAAATTGTGTAAAATCTTTAAGAATGAGAGCACTATGTTATCGGATGAATGGACAATCAGTGAAATAGAAAACTCAAAGCCGGTGCAAGCCCACTCCCCATTCATTTATTATTTCACTCTAACTCAGTGTGTGCCAGGCACTTAATTCTGAGCTCTGAGGGACAGCAGTGAACAGAAAAGAAAAGAAAAAAGAATCTCTGTTCCAAGTGAGAAGAGACAAACGTAAAAATTATCATATGCCCAATGGCATGGGAATGCTGGTGAGGGTGGGGAATGGGCTAGAGGTGTAAATAGGCAGCCAGATAAGGCCTCCTGAAGAAGATAATATTTGAGTCAAGACCTGAGGGACTGAGAGAATGAGCCAAGTCAATATCAGGGGACGAGCATTCCACAGAGCAGTCAGCTCTAGCAAAGGCCCCCAGGGCGGGTAGGCCTGGAGAGTTGCAGAAACAGCCAGGAGGGCCACGTGTCTGTAGTAGAATTTGAAGCAGAAAGTAGTTCAGTTGGATGCACATTTGCCACTTGCCTGCCTAGAGTCAGGTATTGTTCTAGGCCCAGGGGATTTAAATACAATCCAGTGGGGAAGACAGTCAGGAGATAAAAGTAATTCAATAGTTGCGAGGTTCTGATTTTGAGGAAGGCAAGGGTGGGTAGAAGGAGGAGGCGCTGGGGAGATTTCCTGGAGAGATGGCCCCAGGGTTGAGTCCGTCTTACATTTCTCATTGAAATGATGCTCTAGGGTCCAAAGCCAATGAGAAGCTCACAGCTGATGCAGAGCAGCAGCCGTTCTGGAAGCAGCCTAGTGTCCCCGTTCAGCAGCACCGCAGCAGTACTCCCGACAAGTCTGAATCTGACCACACCTGCTCCCACCTCCCAGGATGCCAGCCAGTGCCAGCCCAGCCCAGACTTCAGCCATGACCGGCAGCTCAGGTACAAGACCACCCTTGTTTGAAGGATAACCCAGGTGTCATTTTACCCCATTCATTTCAGCTCTACTTTCTGCTTTAGACGAAGACAGAGTTCGGACAGATTCTAAAGTACCCACAGTTGATCTCAGCTAAGGATGCAGAGGATAGAGCTTGGGGTCCTGAGGTCCAGGGGATGTTACCCACTGCATCCATCATCCTCTGAGAACAAAGTGGGGCTAGTGGGGATCAGGGTCAACATGAAGGGTCCAGCCAGGCTGAGCAAGTGCTGCCACCACCAGTGGGTCTGTGGTTCAGGTGCTGATCAGTTTCCTATTTCCTCCCCTCTGCTTGAAGGCTGTTGCTGAGCCAGCCCATCCAGCCCATGATGCCCGGGTCCTGTGACGCAAGGCAGCCCTCGGAGGTCAGCAGGACAGGACGGCAAGTCAAGTACGTCGTGGATCCTGGAGGGAGGCAGGAGGCAAGCATTGGCGGACTGGTTCCAGGCTGGCCAGGCCTCACCTGCCTGGGCTGGCAGCACTCACATGAACCTTGCAATAAAGGCAGGGTCTAGTGTGCCCACAGCTGTGAAGGGGATACTGCCCCTTAGCTTTTCTTCTACCATGTCCCATTTCAGCAGGAAAATCTTTGAGTCAGCACCCATGCTTAGAGCAGCACTGAATGAAACTGTTCACACCCCCTATTTGCCACCATCTTCCAACTTCTTTACAGGTCTAAAGCCCTCACCCCTGGAGACATCCCTGGAAGGTATAGCACCATCCTCTTTCCCAAGGACCCTCCCCCAGGCTCCAGCTGACATTCCACAGGCACACTTGGTGCTCTGTGCTTGGGCCCTTCTCTCCCAGACCAGCAGCCCCCTCTCTCACTTCCCCAACCTCCTCTCCACTGGCACCCACAGTACCCCAGGCAGCTTTGTTCAGCTGCTTAATTACTAGAGACAATGGTTACTGGAGACACAGGGGGAATAGTTTAAAAGCTGGAAAACAGTGTCTAGCTCTTCAGAATGAGGCAGAAATAGAGCCATCACACAGACATCTCCTTCGTCTTAACACTGGTTTACTGGAGTCCAGAGCTCACCAGGACAGTGCTAGCCGATCAGCCCTGGGATGTCCTCATGTAGAGGCCTCGCAGGCACCCCCAGGCCCTCTCCCTGGAAGTCCTCCTCCTGTGCCCTCCTTCAGTTCTATCCCTAGTATAGAAGTAGGCCCCAGAAAGATTCTTGTTTGATTGTTTTTCATGCTTAAAGTTTATGAAGTCTATGTCTATGGAGTACATGAAATTACAAGTCAGCTATTATGCCTTGTGTGGTTATGTGCTGAAAATGTTCCTTTTTTAAAAAGTAGTTTTTACTCAAGAGAGTAATGGCAGATGGTTACAGCCTTTCTGAGGGTCAGGGCTTGCATGTTCATTATTTCATTTTATCCCAATAAAAACTCAAGGGTGCAGGCACATGCTCCTCTTTTTGTTTTTAACCAGTGAAGAGGCTGGGCTTTTAAATGTAGCTCTGAAGGTTACATTCTCGAAGGCTACACAGTACACATGGTGGGGCTCGAGGCCAGCTAACTCCAGGCCACAGGCCCCTTTGGCTCCCTGAATCTTCAAAGTGCACTTTGTTGGCCCTGTCTGGGGTCTCCCACGCCTCAGGATAACTTTCTAGGCAGCCTCTGCCCCGAGACTTTCTGGCCCTCCCTTTGGTCACAGGAGGGTAAGGAGGGAGCTGCAGGTTGTGGAGAGCCATCTGCAAAGTTCCATTCATGTCTATCCGTTAGGCAGGGGCGAACTGGGCTGGTTTTGCTTTCGGATTATTCCTGTTCTTCCTAAGTGATCCAAGTAAGTGTAAACAGGCTGGGCGCAGTAGCTCATACCTATAATCACAACACTTTGGGAGGCCAAGGTGGGCAGATCACCTGAGGTCAGGAGTTCAAGACCAGCCTGGCCAACGTGGTGAAACCCCATCTCTTCTAAAAATACAAGAATTAGCTGGGCATGGTAGTGGGTGCCTGTGATCCCAGCTACTCGGGAGGCTGAGGCAGGAGAATCACTTGAACCAGGGAGGTGAAGGCTGCAGTGAGCTGAGATTGTGCCACTGCACTCCAGCCTGAGCAACAGAGTGCAACTCTGTCTCAAAAAAAGATAAATTAAAAATGGAAACAAAAATTCTTGTTACATCACTTTCCAGAGATGCCTAAAATGCCATGAACTAGGGAAGTTTGGAAATTCTTTCATCTGGGAACTCTAACTGCCATTTTTTGTTAAACTGATCATTTATACCCTCCCCATCTCCCTGACTGTCTCTTCCAGACACGACCTAACAGCTCCACTCTCCAGGTGTCAGCATCTGCCTCCCACACACACAGATGCCTCCTCAGGGGAAGTTTGGAACCCCAATGCCTGTTGCGGATGACTCATGCAGGGAAATAACATCTCTAAAAAGATCACACAAAGCAGACTTCTCTTCAGGGTCTTTAGACATTTGCTCCTGTCTATAACCCCAGACTGTTCTTCAGTGGCCTTTCTCTGCTCCTAGTTAATGGACCATTATCATCATCATCATCATCTCTTTCTTTTTTAAAAAATGTTTTGTTTCGTTTTCTTTGAAATGGAGTCTTGCTCTGTCACCCAGGCTAAAGTGCAGTGGCACGATCAGCTTACTGCAACCTCTGTCTCCCAGGTTCAAGCAATTCTCCTGCCTCAGCCTCCCAGGAAGCTGGATTACAGGCATGTGCTACCACACCTGGCTAATTTTTGTATTTTTAGTAGAGACGGGGTTTCACCATGTTGGCCAAGCTGGTCTCAAACTCTTGACCTCAAGTGATCCATCCGCCTTGGCCTCCCAAAGTGCTGGGATTACAGGTGTGAGCCATTGTGCCATGCCTAAGAATGTTTTATTGTGGTAAAACATACATAACTTTACTATTTAAACCATTCTTAAGTGTGTAGTTCCATGGCATTAAATACATTCACACAGTTGTGCAGCCATCACCACCATCCAGCTCCAGAACTTTTTCACCTTTTCAAACTGAAATCCGGTACCCATTAGACACCCACTCCCCACTCCCCTTCCCCCAGCCCCTGAAAGCTACCTTCCTACTTTCTGTCCCTAAGAATTTTACAACTCTAGAGCCCTCATTTAAGAGGAATCATATAACATTTGTGTTTTTGTGATTGGCTTATTTCACTTTACATATCTTCAAGGTTCATTTATATTGTAGCATGCATGAGAATTTCCTTCCCTTTCAAGGCTGAATCATATTCCATTATATGGACAAACCATTTTTTTAAGCTATTAATCTCTTAGTGGACACTTGGATTGTTTCTACCTTTTGGTTATTGTGAATAATGGTTAACAACAATTGTTTATTATATAATAGTTTACTCACAATAACCAAAAGATAAGTATACACATCCATGGATGTATAATTATCTTTTTCAAGTTCCTGCTTTTACTTCTTTTGAGCACATACCCAGAAGTGGAATTGCTGGATCATACAGTGGAATGGTAATTGTGTGTTTAATTTTTTGAGGAATTACCATACTATTTGTATTAGTCCATTCTAACAGTGCTATAGGATGTGCCTAAGACTGGGTAATTTATAAAGAAAAGAGGTTTAATTGGCTCACCCTTCTGTAGTCTGTACAGGACTCTGCTTCTGGGAAGCCTCAGGAAACTTACAATCATGGCAGAAGGTGAAGAGGAAGCAAGCACATCTTCACATGGCTGGGAGCAGAGAGAGAAAGAGAGAGGAGGGGCTACATACTTTTAAACAAACAGATCTCGGGAGAACTCTATCACAACAACAGCAAGGGGGAAGTCCCCAGCCATGATCAATCACCTCCCGCCAGGCCACACCTCCAACACGAGGGATTAGAATTCAACATGAGATTTGGGTGGGGAAACAGAGCCAAACCATGTCAAAACATTTAACACAGTGGCTGCATCATTTAATAATTCCCACCAACAGAGCACTAAAGTTCCAGTGTCTCCACATTCTCACCAACACCTGTTACTTCCTGGTTTTTTTGATAGTCACCATTGTCATGAGTGTGAAGGGACATCTCATTTTGGTTTTGATCGGCTTTGCCCTAATGGCTAGTAACGCTGAGCACATTTTCATGTGCATGTTGGGCTTTTCTAGCTTCTGTTTGGAGAAATGTCAGCCCCATGCCCGTTTTTTGATTGGGTTGTTTGGGTTTCTTGCTGTAGGGTTGTAGGCATTCTTTATATATTCTGGGTATCAGTCTCCTATTCAACATGTGATGTGCAAATATCTTCCCCCACTCCATGGGATGCCTGTCCCTCTGTTGATAGTGTCTTTTGATGCACAAAAGTTTCTTATGAAGTTCAACTTAGTTTTTCTTTTGTTGCTTGTGGTTTTGGTGTCATAACAATACTGCTTTCTTAAAGGACTTGTTTTCTCCTTCCCATGTGAAACAGGTATGCACAGAGCCAGACCGTCTTTCAAAATCCAGACGCACACCCCACCAACAGCAGCAGTGCCCCAATGCCCGTCCTGCTGATGGGGCAGGCGGTGCTCCACCCCAGCTTCCCCACCTCCCAGCCATCGCCCCTGCAGCCTGCACAGGCCCGGCAGCAGCCACCACAGCACTACCTGCAGGTGGGTGCCACAGCCCAGGGGGCCCCTGTGCAGGCCAGGGACCTGGGCCATGCTCTGCACCTCAAGTCTCAGAGATATTTTATTCCCTTGATTCCAAAGTTGTTCTATCCCTGGTAAAGAAGTAAGCCCCAGAAAGGTTCTTATTTGATTGTTTTTCATGCTTAAAGTTTATGAAGTCTGTGTCTATGAGTACATGAAACTACGAGTCGGCTATTATGCCTTATGACGTTATGTGCTGAAATATTTCTTTTTATTTTTTTGAGACGGAATCTTGCTCTGTCACCAGGCTGGAGTGCAGTAGCACAATCTCCGCTCACTGCGACCTCTGCCTCCTGGGTTCAAGCGATTCTTCCACCTCAGCCTCCTGAGTAGCTGGGACCACAGGCACGTGCCAGCACACCCAGCTAATTTTTGTATTTTTAGTAGAGATGGGATTTCACCATGTTGACCAGGATGGTCTCAATCTCTTGATCTCATGATCCACCCACCTTGGCCTCCCAAAGTGCTGGGATTACAGGCATGAGCCACCACGCCCGGCCTGAAGTGTTCCTTTTTTAAAAAGTAGTTTTTACTCAAGGATTTGTGTCTTGACGTTTTCATAGTTGTTAGAGCAAAAGCCAAAAAACATTGATGACTGTGTTGGACTTTTCAGTGTGTTTATAGATAAAGTCCTATGTAAATATAAAGCTAAATCACATTTAGTTACAGATCCATTAACCTGCCTTAATAAATACAGTGATATTGTGTAAAATTGGGCTTGCCAGGAAAATCTGGAGCTCATTTACATATGGTCACAACTTAGAAGGCAAAAATTACTTCAAGCAAGTGCCAAGTATGCCAGAAGCAGGGAGAGTGAGAGCCACTGGTCTGTAGGTTCATGTGTGAGCCACACATCTGCATCTGCCAAGCTCCAGAAGGGCCTGGCCTTCCTTCGCCCATGTGCAGGGTGCCCCTCCTCACCCCAGCCTTTCCCTGTCCTGGGGGGCTTTGTCCCTAGCCTGCAGCCCCACCTGCACCTGCAGAGCCATGGAGAATAAGCAGTGGCTAAGAGCTCTTGAGGACTATGGATTGTGATGATAGCCATCCTTGAAGTTCTAGAGTGCAATTTAATTCCAATGCTGCTAAGCCATCTGTGCTATAGTTTTCCAGTCTCCCTGACCCCATGCATAGTGGGAGTCACGTCAGACTTTGGCTTTGCAGATCTTGTCAGTTCTCGAGACCCAGAAGTGATTTTGGATGGGAAATGAGCAACAGACAAGTTTGCACATACCTGTTGCATACAAGATACAGGCTATGAATACAGAGAGCTTTTCAGCCCCCTCCCTGGGCCTTGGGATGGGGTGCAGAGAGGTAGGTTAGCACAGAACACAGTCTCGGATTTGGGAAGACTGGGAGTGCTGTGGTGGGGAAGCCTTTGTGGGGGAAGGGACTTAAGAGGGAGGGCTCAGAAGGCACCCACTGCGAAGTCTGATGTCCTGGACATGCCCGAAGGGTGTGTCAGGGTGGAGATAAAAGGACAGTGTTCCAGCCAGACAGCCTGATCAAAAGTGCAGGGCAGCTGTGCCTGGGCAGCTTTGAGAACAGGGAGGTGCTGGGTTACTTGCAGGGGGAGATTTCAAGGAAGGGAATAGTGGGTGATGAGATTGAAGTTTCCAAAGTCAGGCTTTGGCCAGTTGAAGCTTCTAAACTTCCAATCATGATGCTCCTAGTAGGCGCTGGCAAATGGCCATATCTGGAGGTAGCTAGGGGATCAGGGACCAGCAGTGAAAAGTGTGCAAACTGTATGTGTGTTTGGCTTCTCCCCTGTGGACTGTCTGCGTGTGGCCTCGGGTTCCATCATCCAAAAACATGCTGCCTACATGTAGATCATGCGCATGTGTTTAAGAAACCATTCCCCACAGGCACAGCTCAAGGCCAATTGGGCCGGCCAGAAAGAGCCGCCCACTACTGGCAGAGAACTTAGCTTCAGAATTCATCCTAAGGTTCCTTTCTTCCCCATCCCCATCACACCCCCAGATCTTGCCAGAGCCACCTTTCCCCACATGACCCCCAAGAAAGAAGCCCTGCAGTCTAACTGAATCTGCAGCATACCCCGCACTGCCCTGTGAGACAGTTGAGGGCAGACACATCAGAACCACCTCTGAAGACCTTTGTCCTTTTTTTTCTAGGTACAGGCACCAACCTCCCTGCACAGTGAGCAGCAGGACTCGCTACTTCTCTCCACCTACTCACAACAGCCAGGGACCCTGGGCTACCCCGCACCGCCCCCAGCACAGCCCCAGCCCCTGCGTCCTTCCCGAAGGGTCAGCAGTCTGTCTGAGTCATCAGGCCTCCAGCAGCCACCCCGATAGTGCCCTGGCACCAAAGTCGGGACACAATCAGCTTTAACCAATGGATGAAGGGGGGTGGCCACAGGAGATGGGGAGAGGAGTCTGAGCTAAACCCTTGACTTTTGTACACACTGCATACATTTCAGAAGTCCTGGATGGTAGCCATCTCTGGAGTACAGCGCTTGGTGCAGTGGAAATGATCAGGAATACTGACCGTGTTACCCTTGCCTCCAAGGTTCTTGGGCACACTCTATAGCCATACTGGACAGGAACCAGGTGCCCTGTGTAGGCGTCATTGCTCAGTTTACCTTCAGAGATGGCGCATCTCGCTGCATCCCCCGAGAGTGTACTGGCGGCTCTCGCCAGCTGCGGCCCGTCCATCTGCGCTAGCTGGCCTTCACTCTCTTGATCGTCATTCCTTTGCTTTGGAGGACTGGGTCAGAGATCTGTTGAAGAGAGAGAATAAAGAGATTATTTTTCATTATTTTTAAATGGTTGTTTTTGTTTTAATTTGCACAGCTGCACAGAGGAAATAACTTAGGCACTTTCTGTTTTTTTAAAAAATAATGAGGTCTCATGGCTTCACTGAAAGACTGCAGTAACAACAGCCCACCAGTCAGAGAAGCTGGTTGTTATTAACCAAGCTGCAGATTGACACTTTCTGGCCTAAACCCTAATCGGGTGAGGCTTTTCACCCCATGCCATGCCGGCAGTGATTTTTTAGCCCCTAAATAAAACACTGGACTATTTCCTGTCTACTGCATTGATTGCAACTACAAAGGTGGACTCAAAGCAAAGCACAATGAAGCCAGCCGACATTCCAGAGTTCTGCTGAGAGCTCCAAGCCTGTGAGGGAAGAGGTTTCAAGAGCCAGACAGGCCTAGGGGCTGCAGTCCCCAGGGAGACCCCACCATGTGCTGGCCCTTTGAGTGAGAATGCTGCATCTTTCTACATATCTTCATGAGAATTGGATTTTCCTTTTCAATATGCACTTTGCTTTTTTTGTATGTTTTGTTATGTTGAGATGTTTCTAAAGAAAAGATTTTATGTAATTATAAGATGAAGCGTAGTGAATTGTACAGCTGTTGTAATAATGACCTATTTCTATATAAAATAAAATTGTATGGCTTATGTGTAAATTATTTTGTATCTGAGATACCAGTTCCCTTCCCAAATATAAAAGTATAAAAGTTTTCTTGTGTTTTTCTGTGAGTGAACATTTTGTAATAAATTAACAAATTTGTACAATTTCCTCTGTCCCTTGTTATACATCCCTACATCCATCTTTTCACCAGTAATCCTATTTTTCTAATTTCAAGATGTTTCAAGGATAAAAGTACAGAAAAGATTAAAGCAAGTGATCAGTAAGTCAGGCAGTGGTCAGCTTTTTCAGTTGCAAATGGGCATTGGCCTATCAGGTTCTGATCTTTGTACTAAAGTTTGTGCCAGAAAAACAATGGTTTACTGTAGAAGTGACAGCAAAACAAAACAGAAAAAAGTTTCTGGAAACATCTCAATCTCTCTCTCTCTTTTTTTTTTTTTTTTAAGACAGAGTCTCTCTCTATCACCCAGGCTAGAATGCAGAAGCACGATCTCAGCTCACTGTAACCTCTGCCTCCCGGGTTTGATTCTGCTGCCTCACCTCGAGTAGCTGGAATTATAGGCACCCACCACCACACTTAGCTAATTTTTGTGTTTGTAGTAGAGATGGGGTTTTGCCATGTTGGCCAGGCTGGTCTCGAACTCCTGACCTCAAGTGATCTGCCCGCCTCGGCCTCCCAAAATACTGGGATCACAGGCGTGAGCCACCACGCCCGGCGAACATCTGTCTTGACATAGATAAAATCCATGTGTTCATGTAGATCATGCGCATGAATATCTTGGAGATAACCAAGACATTCTCTACCAAAGCATTCATTCATAGCCCATCATTAAACTCACTGAGGCTGGAATTCCAGGGGGTTTCACCACCAACACTTAGTTATCAGTGATGTGGGCAGCGTATCTGTGTCTGCATATAAAATATGTGCACAGATGCCATGTTGGGGTTGGGGGCGTAGCTGCAGCATCTAAAACATGTCTGCCAACTACAGACAGCCACCCCATCACGTGGGTGACAGGAGAGTACCCTGGTGTACTGTGGTTGAGAACCACTGAGATGGCAATGCCCTTTCCAAAAGCACTGACCCCAGAGAGTGAATTTCCTCTCCTTGCTTGCTGCATTGTTATGGCTCTCTGCTCCTACTCCTCCCGGGTAGAATGGGGATGGCTCTTCCCAGTTCTATGACTAGGATCAGTTTTGGATGGCATGAAAGGGTGCCATATAAATACATCCAAAAAGTTTTATTACTCAAACAATTGTTCTATTTCTGAAAAAAAAGTAAGTGAAAATATTTTGCACATATTAGAACATGTTGAATCAGGAATGAACCCCCTTCTTAAAAATGCTGTGTGAAACTGGATTATTTCTAAATGTTCTATAAATTCAGAGGT